CACACACACACACACACACACACACACACACACACACACACACACACCCTAAACAGAGAGCAACTAAAATAAGACATTGTGGAGGCAGCTATGCCATACTGTTAAAGCCTGATTGCTTTACATAAAAGGTTTAACATTTTCTTTTCCTTTTGGATAGTGGCCAGAATTGTAAGCGCACTTTCTCTAAAGCCTCTCCCCTTCTATCATACAGCCTCTTGCTGACCACCAATGCTAACTAAAAATGTCAGATTTTTCTTTTCCATCTCTTTCCTCCCAGCAGCTGTCAAAAATTACAGCCTGCTTGCCCTGTCTGCTGCCCCACAACTCCTCCTCAACTCTAATAAAATAGTCTTTGACTGTGACTCTTAAAAAACAAGCGGACAAGCAATTGAGGAAGACATTCTGACACCATCTTCTGGCCTTTATTGTAACTGCATGGAAAAGTACATCTCCATCCACATGCACTTTCATGTGTACACACAGAGACCAGAAAGCTCAAACAACTTAATGACAGACCTTGAAAAAGACAATAAACAAGCCAACTCCAAGATTAGCAGATGGAAACAAATTAGAGGTTAGAAAGAAATGCTACAATAATCCAAGGAAATTTAGAAATTATAGAATTTATCTTAAAAACCCAGGTTCTGCAGCATGGTAGTGGTACATGCCTTTAATCCCAGCACTTGGGAGGCAGAGGCAGGTGATAAAATCTCTGAGTGGGAGGCCAGCCTGGGAAAGCCAGGACTACACAGACACTCTGTCTCAAAACAAGAAAACTTGAAACAAAACAAAAATTCCAAACCCAAACCAATACCCACCTCCACTTCAAAACCCTGGAGTGAACCCAATGACTATCTTCTCAAAAGCAATCTATCTATACACTCAATATAATTCCAATCAAAATTCCAAAAATTATGCACTCTTCACAAAAATGTAAAACAAACACCCTTACAACTCATTTGGAAGCACACAGCTGAGATACGCAAAACAATCCTGAGCAAAAAAGTAAAGCTGTAGACACCATCACATTTGATTTAAAGTTGTATTACAGCCAGAATTAACAAAAACAGCACAGTACTTACACAAAACAGACCACAGATCTATGGAACAGAATAAAAGATTCAGATATACAGTGATAGGTATGATTTTTGACAGAGTTGGGGACAGCCCTGGCTTCACGAGACTCAACAGAACCTTAGATGGCTCAGCAGGTAAGGCACTCTCCATCAGGCCTGATGATCTGAGTTTGATCTCTTGAACCCACACGGTGGAAAGGAAGAACTAACTCCACATGTAAGTTGTGGCATGATGCTGCATGCCCTGCTCCCAACGAACAAGGTAAATGGACAACAGTTCAGGCTGGAGGTATGGCTCAGAGATTAAGAATGCTTACTGCTCTCGTAGAGGACCTGTATTCAGTTCCCAACAGCTATCCCTTCTCTGGCATCCATGGATTCTTGCACACATAGTACACACACATATACACAGTCCCACGGATTTACAAAAGAGGAAATATAAATTGTTAATGGAAATATGAAAAAGTTCAGTTTTACTGCCCAGAGAAATAAAGATCAAGTTGGGCAGTAGCGGCACACACCCGTAATCCCAGCACTCAGGAGGCAGAGGCAGAGGCAGGTAGATCTCTGTGAATTCAAGGCCAGCCTGCTCTACAGAGTGAGTTTCAGGATAGTCAAAATTACATACAGAGAAACTCTGTCTCGAAAAACCAAAAAAGAAATGGAGATCAAAACTACAATGATCATCTCATCTTACTTTAGTCAGAATATAAATTACACAAAAACAAAACAAAACAAAACAAATGACAGCACAGCTGTGAATGAGAACATTTAGACACTTCTGGCAGGAATCCAATCTCTGTGGTAATCAGAATGGCGGGTTCTCAAAAGAACAGAAGTAGATCTGACTTTCAGTCCACTATTACACTCCAAGAACACATAAGTGTTCACTGTAGCACTGTCCATGCACAGTAACTAAGCTATGGAACAACCCACATATAGGGGAATGGAAAAGGACTAAGTGATACACATATATCTGAATGTAACTGGAGACAACATATAAGAGAACTGAGCCAGTCTCAGAAAGTAAGTATTGTATGTTTTCTCTCACTTGTAGTTCCCATATTTATAGTCACATAAAGTCATACAGTTACAGATTAATTCAAAGCACAAGTCAACTGTTGAAGGGAATGAGAAGATTAAAGGGAGGAGGAGAGGCAGATATATACATACAATGTATACACACCCGAAAAAAAAAAAAAATCAGAGATAAGAGCCTCCTATGTTACATGCGCTGGACCCAAATTTTTGTCTTTTGCCTTCTATCTCAGTCACCCGAGTAGCTGGGACTACAGGCGCTCCATAATAGACATACCATTTTATAGTACAGGGTAAAGAGGAGGACGATGTAAGGTTTACTTACTTCAGCCATTCCTTGATGGGGTCTAGTGAGGCGACTGGAATGGCATTGATCATTGTGACTTTCTTGCTGTAATCCTTATAGACAATCACCATATCAAAGTTTTTCAGGTGAAACTGGACCCTCTCAAAATGGATCAGCTCCACTTCATCCAAAGTCACCACAAAAGGTGGCTGTCAAAACAGGAGCTGCATCATTATCATGCAAGTACTTCTCTCCATGCATTTTCAAAAGCTAAATCACCATACAAAGGAAAACTATTTTTTTTTTTTTTTTTGGTTGTTGTTGTTTTTAAGATAAATGCAGTGTGACATACTAAGAACTTTTAATTCTTCTCTCAAGGAGAATACATTCACGGAATCCTGAAAGAAATTATTTTTAAAGACTACAGAGGCTTTAGAGGATCATTTAATGAATTTTAAATCTAAGGTAAGCATCAAAAGATGAAAATCATAATAATCAGGATCAGAAGAATTTGCCTTCCCCTAACAGTCTGTTGCTAAGAGTGGGCACGAAGGGTGTCGGTGGCACTCAGTGGTACACCTAGCAGACTGTGGGTTCGAGCTCTTAGCAATGGGGCAGAAGGAAAGGACCAGAAAATGAAAAGTTAACAGGAAGAGGGGGCAAGGACACTCACCCACTCTGTAGCGTTTACCAGTGCACTACTAGTGGGCTGAAGGAGGCAGGTACTCCTGTAGGGAGCCCCATTAAACCTGAAAAAGAGTGAGATGAACAGTTCACTCCTCACATGAGCCTGCTGGCAACACAACCCTAACATAGTCCCTCTGCCAAACAGCTCCTAAGGAAGTCATGCATGAAAAGCCCTGAGTTTTAAAATATATGTATCTACTTTTAAAGGTGCAAGTGTGCCTGGCTTTAAAAAAAAAAAAAAAAAAAAAATCCTTAAAATTTCTGAGTGGTTATCGTAAATGTTATCAGCCATAGGAAAAATAAAGAGTGTATGTGGCGTTAAACTAGAGAAACAATATCCCCTAAAAGCTAGACCTATGAGCTTTGAGGATGGGATAGAGATGGGGAGGGAGGTAAGGGGAAAGAGGAAGATTACCCCAGGTCCCTAAATGGTACTTCGAACTCCAGCTCCTCCTTTGTTAGAGCCTCTACTTTTTCGATGAAATTTTTAAAGGCTGTTTTCAGTTTGTGTCTCATTTCCCGTTCCATCTGTGGACGAAAACGGTATTACTTAGAGTCATCATGCGACTTGTTAATAGTATTCCCCTCAAAAAGTTCAAAATTCTTTTGTCGTTTTAATTCTCCTTACACCATCTTATTTAGGGTGTATACCATGAACATGAATTTTTAACCTATGCCTAATTCATAGATCAAAACACTAGGTCACCAGAAGCACAGAATACACTCCCAGCTCATAGTTAATCCTACCGCACTACTCTGTAAATGAGATTCTGAATTTCTCAGACCTGCTCAGCATAGAGGTCATCTCGGTCATGCATATGCTGGTGTTTCCCCAAATCTGTAGTGATCTCGCCAACTTCTGTGTAGAACTGTACATCCGTATGTCGCTTCTTCCCAAACATGATAGCATTCTAATGATAAACCAGAGGTAACAGGAAAGTTAGATTTAAACCACTCAACCCACAAAAAGAGAAGATGTTAAAGAAACAAAATACATAAAACATAAAAACACATACACATTGTACTATACTATTGACTGAAGAGGTAAGATGTACCAACTACCTGACTGGAACTGAGGCTCCCATCACAGGAGGGAATTCATATGCGTTACTGAAAACTTGGTCAAAATCCACAGGGTAGGGAGGTCACAGGCCCTAGTGGGTAAACTAGAGCAGTTGTTTGCTAAATGGATATGATATAATCATTAAATAACCTTTTAAATAATTACATTAATCCCTACAGAATAGTCCTGTTGTCTGTCATCTGTGGTCAGAGAAGCTTCTTCTTGCAGTGCGCATGTAACTACAGAAACTGATTGGTCCGAGTTTTAAGATTAAGTGACTGCTGCACGCTCAGCCTAAAGTGGGACATCCAATCATTCCCTCCATGGCTCAGGGAGATTGTAGAGGAAAAGAAAGAAACAATGTAAGAGGAGGGAGATGGGGTGGAGTAATCTCCTGGGAATAACATGCTCACTGTACTTTTGGCCTCACAGCAGCTATGACTGATCACCCTACCTTTTAGAAAGAGAGAATTTTTTTTTTTTTTTTTAAATTTTGTTTTTTTTGAGACAGGGCTTCTCTTTGTAGCCTTGGCTGTCCTGGATTTCCTTTGTAGACCAGGATGGCCTTGAACTCAGAGATTTGCCTGCCTCTGCCTTCCAGAGTGCTGGGATTACAAGTGTGAGCCCCTTCACCCAGCTGAATCTTTTTTTTTTTTTTTTTTTTTTTTAAGATTTATTTATTTACTTTATGTATGAGTGCTCTATCTACATGCTTGAATGCTTGAAGAGGGCATCAGATCCCAATATAGATAGTTGGGAGCCACCATGTGGTTGCCAGAAATTGAACTGAGGACCCCTGGAAGAACAGACAGTGCTCTTAACTGCTGAGCCATTTCTTCAGCCCTGAAATAGAGTATTTTGGTTGCTAGGAGAGGTAGACATTTTCTTCAGTGGTGTAGTCACTTGACAGGTAACCAGATTCCTGTAAGTAACGTCAACCACAGCCCTGTACCCAACCCTAATCAAAGTCACTGGGCCACTGTACTTTATAAACATATTAAAACCTCTTTAATGATTATGATTTTATGTAATACATGAGGAAAATCAAGCTTTTGCTGAAGAGCTTCTAAGAGTGTACCTTGAGGTGAAAGTGCAAGACAATAATCATTTCCCCGTCACAGGGCTGGAACAAAGCATGCTTAATATTATTGTACAGAATGTCCACTTTGTCTCCTCGAACAGATGTGAAGCGGAAACCTGAAAAGAACAAGGTCACCAAACGTCAAGTAGGGTCTCAGGTTAGCTCAAAGGCAGTGTGCCTATCGCTTCAACTGACTTGAACAAGACCAAAAAACCCAACACACATCAAATTTCCATTCTTTCTGGCTGTTTTATAAGGTTTCTCTAGCATGCTACTTTCTTTGAAGCTGCAGTCCAGGCATTTGCCTTACATACCATTGACATGGGCCTCCAGGGAGCCTTGCATTCTCTTTTGAGCAATGTTTGGACGAATGTACAGATCTTTCAGTTTTGGATTACTCCGGTTTAGATTGATCACCAATGAGTCTTGTTTCACAATGCCCTAAGGGTTACAACATAGTATATGAATGCACATGTGTCCTCACATGAACTTTCACGTACAAAGGTGCTTTGTTATGTTCAGACTCACCTCTTTTTCTTTCTCTTCAGCTTCTCGCGTCTTGTAACGTTTTTGTACTTCTTTTATAATTCGAAAAGCATTCTGAAGATTTAAGGCTGGTACAGTCTGCTCTCCAGGTGCCTTCATATTTGAAGCTCGGTATGTACTGTAGAAGAAAAATGTGCATAGAAGTTTATTAGGCCAGGTAATCTGAAACCATTTCTATGGTTTGTACATGGATTAATCTTTCTATTGTGTGCATGTGCTGATGTAGGTATGTGTTTGTGTGGAGGCCAGAGGTCAACAATAAATGCCTTTCTTATTTATTAATCATTCTTGCCTTTTTTTGGGGGAGAGGTTCTTTCTGAGATTTAGTTTAGATGGGTTCGTTAACAGGATTCAGGGTTCTCCTTGTCTTTACCTCTCCAATGATGGGACTACAGATACAATCTGCTGCACCTACATATGTATTTAATGTGGGTCCTGGAGACCTGAACTTAGGTCCTCAAGCTTGAACAAGAAGCACTTTACCAATTTTCTCTCTCTCTCCAAGATTATCTTTTAAAAGCCCAAGCTGCCTTTGATCTTACTACGGTCAAAGGTTGGCCTTAATTAAACTCCTGGTCTTCCTGCCACATCCCCCAAAGTGCAACCATACCTAGAGGGCTCAATGTTTTTATAAGAAAAACTACCACTAAATATGGGAATAGTAGGAAGTCATAAAAAAAAAAAAAATCTTGTCTTTAAAATGGAAAGTATCATTAGCTAATACTCAAATAGAGAAATTACACTGTTTTTTTCAAATTTGACATGGCATCTCCCAATACTGCATTCTATCACTAAATGATGAATCAGAATCCAATGTAGCATGTTTTCTTTCTTCTTCCTCTTTTATGCTTTTTAATTTTGTGTTTTTTTGAGATAGATCTTACTATAGTCTATGGTTACATTGAATTCACTGTGTAGCCCAGGATGGCCTTGAATTTGTAAATTTTTTGCCTCAGTCTCTTAAATGTGGACTTCAATCTGTGCTATATGTCACCACAGTTCGTCTACACATTTCTTACCTGAGGATCCCATTGAAAAATGTGTACTGTGAATCTAAATTAGCCTCACAAGGATTCTAAATTAGGATCCTTACTTAAAACATTACAAAGTCAGCAACATAACCCTAAACAAGTGCCACCAGGGAAGGCCTTGCAGTGGCTTCTTGGGAAAGGAAGCAGCAGGGAATGAACATCTGAGATTACTGCTCCACTGGCAAGGATTGGGGACAGTTGTTTCCTGGGGACTCACATTTCCTTGACAAAAGTGGCTTCAGGGTTAGGAAAGATGTTGCCCTCGTTCCTGCCCAGAGCACTGCCTGGACAATAGAAGTTGATTCGCAGGTAAGTATAATCTCCTTCGACTGACATACTTATGTTCTGTTCAAAGAAAGAGAGAAAGGTCAGGTTTGTTACTAGATTACAGAGACGCTAAAGTTAAGTTAGCAGTTAAGAGATGAGGGGCAGAGAATGCAGCTCAGTGGCAGAGCATTATCTAGAGCATGCGAGGTCTTTCTTGGCTAAATTTCTACCTGCAGAAGAAAAACTCCAGAGTTTGCTGCTCTTGGAGCTGAAACTATGAAACCAAACCAAAATCAAGACAGACACATTCAGCAGTGTTTTTCACATAATCAAGTGACTGTTTCTCAAAAAACACCTAATTATAAAGTATCTTGTGACAGGAAGACAATTTAGCGTTAAATAACAGTTAATAATTAAAGTAAGACACACAAATTGTAAGGGCTGAGGTGGTAAAGTGCTTGCTGCACAAACAAAAGGACCCAGGTCTGGAGCCCTAGCACCCACATAATATCTAAGTGTGGTATGTACGTCTATAATCCTAGGGCTAAAGGTGGGCAGACAGGTGACTTCCAGAGCTTGGTGGCCAGACGCTTTAGCCAATCATTGAGCTCTGGGCTCAATGAAAGATCCTGTCTCAAAACATAAGGTAGAGAGAGCTATGGAGTGAGACACCAGATGACATATGGCACATGACCTATATGCCCAGAGGCATACTCAACAAACACACTCACATTTATACAACACAAACATTAAAAAAAACAAAACAAAACAAAACAAAAACAAAAAACAAAAACAAAAACAAAAAAACAACAAAAAACACCTAAATTACTGGCAAATTATTGTTCTAGACTAGTTTGGTTTCCTACAAAGTGAAAACCAGAAGGGAAGAGAAGCAGCAGCAGGAGATAAAGGAGAAAGCCGAAAACCAGCATACTGTAGTGTGAAAGTTCAGAGTGGGAGAAGAGCAGAGTTCATTAGGTAGACACATTGGAACCTTAGAAATTCGATGTGTGACACCTGACCAGGAAATACTGGTACCTTGATTGTGGCAATATGGAAGGGTGTGGCAATGCCGAACACAGGCATTATCACAGTCTCATATTTCTTATCAATATATATCTTCATTTCTCGAATATGTGGTTCCTTAGGCATCAGAGATGGGTTTTTATAGGACACATTCGACTTGCGAGCTCTGGAATGGGGTTGAAAACAAAACAAGACACTAAGAAATCTCTACAGTCACATATCCCTAGACCATCTCCTTGCTCAGTGTGGACTCCTACTTCTGAATCTGCTGTTCCCCTTTCTGCTCTGTCAGTCTCCTCTTTGCTTCCTCGTTGAGCTGGGCTGCCAGTTCCTTCTGATGTGCTCTTCGCTTTTCTTCAGCAGTCATCTCATTCTAGCAAAGTAAGAGTCAAATCAGAACATGGAGCACATGACAGCACCCCAGTGTTTTGGTCAGTTTCCTAACCCTCCCTGGGTGGCTTGCACTTGCTTATGTGCCACTGGTTGGACTTAACCTAGTGATTCTCATGTCTCAGGCTGCCGAGTGCTGAGTTACAGATGTGCGTTAGCACATCCAGCCACATGTCAACTGCATTTAAACAGTAAACTCACCCTTGTTCTTTCGGTAAGTAATGCTGCCCTGGAGCCTCTTCCTAAAAGGTCCTCTGCTTCATCTTTCTCTTCCTCCTCCTCTTCCTCATCCTCATTCTTTGGGAAGAAGGCAGAATAATACCGTTACAGTAATACTTTTTGAAAAGCTGATGTTCCTTCACTTCTTCACTGTACATAGATTCCTGTAACAATCACTTACTGCTTTCTCACCTTTAGGAAAATCCCCACATTCTTTACTTTCTTTTTCACAGAAGTAAGAACAGTGGCTGGGCCATCCTAGAACAAAAGGAGAACTTAGACCTCCAATTTAAAGTGCATACTTGCTTTTAACTTAACATATAGCTGGGCAATACCATGAACTCTTTAGATTCTAAAAGCTTTTAAGAACAAACAGTTTTTACTCTCCTAGATTTACTTTAGGAGATATTCTTGGAGCAATGGTTTTTTAAAAAGCCTGCTTTACCCAGATCTACGTCATCTGTGCCAGTACAAACATGAAAAAATTTATCACCAATAAAATTAATTCTGGGGTTAGAGAGATGGCTCAGTGGCTAAGAGTTGCTATTACACAGGCAAGACCTATGCTCAGTTCCAAGCATGCACACTGGGCAACCCACAACTGCTTCCAATTCCAGCTCAGGAGATCAAAGGTCCTTGGTCTCCATGGGTACACATACACACACCCACGCAACCCTTCCCCCCCAATAACAACAACAAAAGGGCTGGGGAGATGGTTGCTCTCCCAGCGGTCCTGAGTTCAATTCCCAACAACCACATGGTGGCTCCTAACCATCTATAATGTGATCTGGTGCCCTCTTTTGTCATGCAGGTGTACATTCAGACAGAATACTATATACATAGTAAACGAAACAAAAAACAATTCTGGGGTCAAAGAGATGGCTAGCCATGAAAAAGAGCACTTGCTAATAAGGAACCCACAAAAACCGCTGGCTGTAGTCATGGTATCTGTAACCCCGGCTCTGAGTGAGACAGGGAATTGTTATCAAAGCCTAGCCACCAAAACTTCAGTTTTAAATTCAAGGAGTAACACTGCCCCAAAGGAATACATGGGGAATGATAAGGACATCCAGTGCCCCTTTCTGGTCTTTGTGTGTACAGTTGCACATATGTATGCATATATTCACAGAAACACACACATACAAATAATACTAAAAAAGCCAAGTGCCAATATTAGAATTAGTTCCTGGTTTAAAGCATTCATGTGACTGGGCCAGAGTCTTTATTTCTAGTTGCTTTCTCTAGTCTAGGTCATTTAGCACCCATCAACAAAGACAGTACCAGAGTCCACAACAGACTTCAAAGATCAGTTTATGAACACCAAAAGCTTAAGTAGCAAACCTCATCTACAAGTACTGTGTCACCAATGAATAGGGCATAGGTTTTCTCTTCCGGTTTTTTTCCCTCTTTGTTAGTCAGGTCTGAAAATCCTAGGTTGATGCTGAAAACCATCCCTAAAATAGTAAAACAGGGATCAGTCAGTAGCTACAGAAAGGTGTAGAGGACTAAGATTTATACAGAAAAGGAGTGTCAGGGAACCACCCAAAAATTAATTTCTTATTGTATGCATATAAAAATTACCTTTTTTAAGCTTGTACTGATTTTTACTATTGATTACTAGAGAGCCTTCACGGAATTCAATTCCCATCCCAAATCTAAAAACAAAGATAAATATAAGTGCAGGTTAAAACATCAGTAACATGTCCCAAATATGATTTCAACTTTTAGATAAAGCAGGGCAACATGTGGAAGTGATTAGCCCTTGACAATCTATTAGTAAGGAAAGAAATAAAAAATAAGGTGGGGAGTCATGGCTCGTGCCTGAAATACTAGCATTCAGAAAGCTGAGGCAGGAGCATCAACACAGATTCAAGATTAGCCTGGGCAACAGACTGAAGCCCTGTCTAACAAAACAAAGCAGAAAAACAACAACACACATATGCATACATGTAAAAAAGACAGTTTTAGGTCTCTAAATGTTACATTATTCCATATTAAAAAATAATTTCCAAGACCAGTGAGATGGCTCACTGGTTAAGTACACATCCAGAACAGAAGGGAAGAACTTCTTCATGATTCACCTTCTGGCCTCCACATCACACCACTACATAACCACATCCTCCATAACGACATAAATGTAAAAAAAGTTTTCAAAAAGGTTTCCCAGCTAGGCAGTGGTGGCACATGTCTTTAATCCCAGCACTCAGAGGGCAGAGGCAGACAGAACTCTGAGTTTGAGGTCAGCTAGAGCTACAGAGAAAAGAGAAACACTGTCTCAAAAACCAACCAAACAAAAAGGTCCCCAAACATTTCATGAAACATTTATAAAAATTTGATATTAATATACACTAATATTTTAAGCTTTTCTGCTTGTTTGTTTTTGAGAAAGAGTTTCTCTGTGTAGCCATGGCTATCTCGGAAATTGCTCTGAAGACCAAGCTGGCCTTGAACTCACAGAGATCTGCCTGGCTACCACCTGGCGTAGTTAGCTTTTAAGATAAAATTTAAAATTAACATAGCATGAAAATCAAGCTGGGAGTTTTTCCATAAATAACACAGAAGTGACTGAATTGAGAGGTAGTTTTCAATAGGATATTGCTAGTAAAAATAGTAGGATTTGCTATGATCCTAAGTCCAGAAAAAAAACCACACAGTAAGGAAACTGCCTGTAACTGTTCCCTATAAGCTGTCCTCTGATACTCTTAAACAGCATTTCTAATTAATTGTTTTATTTTTCTCTTCCTCCTCTTCTTTTTGGTTTTTCGAGACAGTTTTTCTGGCTGTCCTTGGACTCAGAGATGTGCCTGTCTCTGCCTCCCTGAGTGCTAGGATTATAGGCGTGCACCACAGTACACACAAACACACACTGTATTACATTTAAAATCAATACAGTAGGACATCCTAGGGGCATTAATTGTAAATAAGCTAATCTGATCCTAGCATGTCTACTGTCTAGATTTCTATAATGGTCTAGAAAAATCTATCCCATTAACTTGGAAGAATCAATTAAATCTTTCTCTCTCTGGTAACACCATTTGCTTGGCACACATGAACTTGTTAAGTGCAAAGTACTGGTGAAAAAACAAACAAACAGAAATACCAGTTAGGTGACTGTGATGGGGCATGGCTGTAATCCCAGTACTTGAGAAGTTTCGTGTAACTCAGGATGACAGGGAGGTGGAGGCCAGCCTGAGATACTGCTGGAAACTCCAGCTCCTAACACAAAAAATTAAACACTCCCAAATATTGCCAAACTCAGTCTAAGAATACAGACTGCTATCGATGAAAACTAAGTCAACAGACAAAATATACACTATGACACACCCTAGGTTTTTTGTAATTTTGTTCAGCAGCTCTGGCTTCTGCTTCTTAACCACATCCATGACAGAGTTATATACATCACATATCTTCACACCTAGTAAGATAGAAAAGAGACATTAAATATTTTTCAGATGAAAACAGTAGCAAACAAAGATATCATATAATCAAGTTGCTTTCACCTACTAAGTCCCTTAAAGTAGTATTTCTCAAAGTAAAAGGAGTGTCTGCCATGATAGCAATTAGGAATCTGATTTTTTAAAACAGAAAGCATTCCAGGTATGGTGGTGTATGCCTGTCATTCCAGTACTCGGGAGATAGAAGCAGAAGGATCTTTTTGAGTTTGAGGCCAGCCTGGTCTACAAAGTGAGTCCAGGACAGCCAAGGCTACACAGAGAAACCATGTTTTGAAAAACCTAAAAAAAGGGGGGGGGGAGAAAGAAAGAGAGAGAGAGGGAAAGAGAGAGGGAGGGAGGAGGGGGAAGAAGGAAGGAAGGAAGGAAGGAAGGAAGGAAGGAAGGAAGGAAGGAAGAAAAGAAAGCAGAGAATCATTTGTTTCTTTCATGGTATTGGGGACTTAAGTCAGTCTCTTTTGGAATTGCTAGTGATGGAATCCAGGGCCATGCACAGGATAGGGAAGAGCTCTAACACTCAGCTTCAACCCTAGTCCCTGAGAGTCATTACTCAGAATCACTGATCCAGGGGACCACGAAATGCTATTTCAGGACTTCCAAACTATCTTTTAGAATTCTTACCATGTCTTAATTCCTTTAGCATCTCCTCTTGAAGCTGAAGTAAGAAGTTGTAATTTTCTTGAACTTCCTGAGTAGGATCAACCATCAGAGTGCGAACAAGGTTGGAGCAGTAAGATTTAAAGCGAATGCCCATGGCACAAGTAATGGCCCCAAAATGCATATGGTTTTTATCACTAGAGACCAAAGAGAAAAAGCCTTTATCACCCAATCTAGCAAAGTATCACTGGTACACAATACCCACAAATCACTGCTTGTCCTTGATATAGCCCAAATTCTAATGGAATAAAGATGTAAACTGACCCTACCCCCCCAGAAAAAAACTCAAACATACCACTTACAGTTCTAAAGTAAAAATTAGTGACCAAAATTTTTAGAATAAGATTTCGGGAAGATATGAATACAAAAGTGGAAGACTAGAGCAATTTACTGGGTGTTAGGAAGCTACTTACGTTCTGGTCCTTCATGAACTGTGACTTACAATTTTGTCTCTCTGTGTGTGGGTATTTGTGTTTGGTAATGTTGAGGCTCAAATTTTAGGCTTTTGGACATCCTAACCAGTGCTCTATTTCTGAGTTAAGAGCTGCAGCCACTCCCCTTTACAGTATGTATTAAAAGGTGGAAGCAGTGGCACACGCCTGTAATCCCAGCACTTGGGGAGGCAGATTTCTGTGAGTTCAAGGCCAGCCTGGTCTACTAATCGAGTCCAGGACAGCCAAGGCTACCCAGGTAAATCCTGTCTAAAAAAACCAAAACCAAGACCAAAAAAAAAAAAAAAAAAAGCGCCAACGTATGAAGTAACAAAATATACATATACACAGAAAGACTATAGGCAAAGCAGATTAGTTATTCTATCTCTTTTGATCTTTTGAAAATGTCAAAAGGAAAAACAGGTTAAAATACTCTGGTCATTCTATTATGAAGTTTTCACACTTACCTCACTACACTGAATTTGAGATTATAGTTGCCACCACTCTGAATAATAGGAGGGTAACACATTTCCACAGTAGAAGGGTCTGCTCCGGCTAGGTATTTTTTCTCTTCAATGGCCTTTTCCACAGACTCAGCCAATTTGCTATGCCGAACTTTCTAGAATACACAGAAATATAGTAACACTAACTAGAGGGTAGTATACAGAAGTGTATGATGTTTAATGTGTCACCCAAAGGCACACTGAGATATCTGTGGTGTCTGTGACAGATAGTATATTGATATACAGAAGAAATGTGGAGCTTACATGGAATTCATAGCTCTCCAGTGTTCTTAAATAAGCATCAATAAACTACAGCACATGTTTACTTATTTTGAAGGAGAGAAGAATGGCAGTTACCAACTTCAAAAGCAGTAAAAACAAAACAAAAACTGAAAATGTGTTATAAGCCAAACAGGACTCAATCCTGCTTCATCAACACGGTAAAAAGAGACCCCCTTTTTCATTACCTCATCTGCATCCACTATCTCCATGACTCTTTCCTTGAAGAATTTGTTGAAAACCTCAGAGGTGATGCTGGCTGCTTTCTTCATCAGGTTGAGCTCCCCATCCTCTTTCACAGCAATGGTGTATGCCACAACAGCACTGATATCTACCTGCAGACATAGTGATGACTAATGCAAACACAGCTGCCAAGCTTACCTTGAGAAGCCCCAGTATTGCTACTCAGAATGCTCAGTCTCTTCCTGAACTGAATAAACATTTAAAACATCTTAGAACAAGTATTCTATGAGACATTAAGCCAATATACTACTTGAAACATAAATTTATCTCTCTAGAGGTAATTGTAATGCTGAAGGGAGATAGGCAGAAAGGCAGGAAAAAGAGGACCCCAAAGAGATTCAGCTATCTACTATGAGTTATCTAAGGTGGCTGATGTACTTTTGAATGCCTTATTTTGTGAATGAAGAGTAACTGGAATCCTTTTTAGCCAAAGGACATAGAAAACAGAAATGTGAATGAGCACAGGTTTCCTTAAATGAAAATCCTCTGCTGTGAGAAAAGCCCTCCCTACCTCTGTTTCCCTTTCAATGTGCAGCTTCCCGCGGAACCCTTACTTTGTCAAAGCCCTCCTTGTTGAGACAGTCACTCCAGCTCTTCATGAATTCTCCAGGGAACTTGTCTTTGCTGAACACTCCAATTTTCTTGCCATTCTTGCTTTCTTTAATGGCTTCAATCATTTTGTCAAAGCTGCTCTTATTACTTTCATTCTATCAATGCCACAAGAAAGCAGATGTCAATTCAAGAATTAAACTTCTATTTTCTATCTAGCCAATAAGCAGAGAGTAATAATCTAAGCCATGGAAAGGATGAGTTCTCTGGGCCCCACCTATTTCCTCAGGACAGATTATCACATACTGAATGCTGATATTTTCTTTGGGTATTTTGACAAGACTATTCTTTTGCTTTAAGGAAAGACTGAAAACTCAAAATACTCACAGAAAATTCTGAGAACTAAGTACATCTAAGTTCTCTTAAGGATTTTTAGTTTATGAGGTCTTACTATTATTGCAACGGAAACAAATAACACCCTCAAAAAATGGTTAATCAAGTCAGTAGTGCTTGTCAGAGGCCACAGCCCAGCCCACTGCCATGACGCTATTGGTCTTGGAGCTCTTCTTTTCCTACTTAACTGACGACACAACTCTGTAATTACAGCTACAACTTGTCTATTTTCTTTCTTTTCCTTTTTTAACACAGGCTTTTTCTCTTATGTCACCCTGGCTGGGTTGGTACTCACTATGCAGACTAGGCTGTCCTTGAACTCAAGAGATCTGTCTGCTCCTATCTAAGGGCTGAGATTAAAAGCGTGTTTTACCATGCCTGGCCATCTTTTCTCATGCACTCTAAAAGCCCCCAAAGCACTTGGGCTGAACACTTAACATTTATTGATTCTAACCTTCTCTCTGATGAGCAGTGTTATGGCAGGGGCTCCATTTGCATTCTCATTGCCTTTAGTATTGGCAATCTGTTTCAAAAATTCCACTTTTTTTTTGCTGGCCATGAAGATGATTTTGTCATCACAGAAGACCATGATTGTATCAGTTAGTTCATAACCAAAGAGCCATGTCTATGGAAAAACAACAGCGACAAAAGTTATAAGTAAACGAATTTATGTAAACACCTGGGTTAACTTTACGATCTGGGATGGAGCAGCTCTGATGTGGGTACAAAGAAAACAACCTGAATCAGGGGTTGAATGATAGGTGTTGAATAGTATGTGTGTGTAGTGTGACACATGATTCCATCTGATTTTATATGCTTATAATATTTCATAAATAAAACATCAAAATTGTAAGGTTTGTATTTCATTTACTTTTCCCTGGTAATGAATGAAAGAGAGGCAAGGGAGAGTGCTTGCTTATGGGAGTTACCTATAAAGTAGTGAGAACCTTAGACATAGGTGACAGGACTGAGTAAATGACTATGCTGGAGACAAGTACAGAGCCTCCCATACACAAGGCACACTACTGAGCTATGCACTAGACCAGGAACTGAATGCTGTAAAGCCACTTACTTACCTGTAAGGCAGTTGACTTGGCATAAACAATTTCTTCATCAACACCCACAGATACAACAATGGCATCAATACTGGCATATTCGTCTTCTCCTTTCTGAAAAGAGAGGGTAATTTACTTACTTACTTTCCTTGCATATGTATGCATGAAGGCCATAGCAGGGTATGGGATATTTCTATTACTCTTTGCCTTACTGCTTTAAAACAGGGTCTCACTGATCAGAAATTTCCTCTTTGACTAGGTTGGCCAGATGGCAAGGGAGCTCTTGGAATCCATCTGCTTGAGGTGAGGATAAAGGCACATGCCTTTATGATGACCTCTTTATGTGGGTACTGGGGACCTGAACTCAGGTCCTAACACCTGCAGAAAAAGTGCATCTTCCTAGCGCCTTATTATTTTTTACACACTAGTAACAGAAATATAGTAGTATCTGCCCAGGGCATAATTTTTCCTAATACTAATCTGACATGCATACCTGCTTAGTAACAACACAGCTATTATTTACCTCTTTTTTAAAAACTCAGCTCTGAGATAACAATCACATACAATAAAAGCCACTTATTTTCAGTACAGTGCCATCTTAACATTCACATATGCAATCATCACTACCATTAAACCTCAGAATACCTTCATTAACTCCAAAAGAAACCTTTTATTAATTAGCAATTATTTTCACTTCTCTTTGCTTCCTCTCCAGCTTTTGGCAATTAGTAATCTGTTTCTAATGACCTGCCTACTCTGGACATTTCATATAGCTCTAGTATTCAGCATTTGTGTGTGATTTCTTTCATTTAACAGACATGCTTTCAAGGTCCATCTGTGTTCTGGTATTATCAATATTTCACTGGGCATGTGTGCAAGCCAGAGGTCACGATGTTAGCTGTCTTCAACTGCTCTCAACCTAGTTTATTTTAGAGACATGGTCTCTCTCACAAAGTTCCTGACCTGGAACTTTGTAGTCAGGAACTTTGAAGGCAAAGCTGGTCTCAAACTTTTACAGAGATCCTACTTTTCTGCTGCCCAACTGTGCAACCTTATTCTTTGAGCCCTGGCCTCTCTTAACCTGGAGTTCACTAATTCAGGTAGGCTGGCAAACGGTGCTCCAGGGACGTCTATCTAAACTCATTTCCAGAACTGGGATACAGACACAGATGGATGCTTTTACCTGGATGCTAAGAATCTGAATTTAGGTTCTCACACTTCCACAGAAAGCACTCTCCCTTGAGAACAGAGACATCTTCCTTGTCCCTTGGCACATCACTTTTACAGTTAAATATTTCATTATGTGGATATACATTTTATTAAACCAATCATTTAGGTTATTCCTGCTTTAAAATTTTTATTTATTGTGTGTGACAAGTACAGGCTGGAGTATACACGGGATGCATGTGGAACCAGGAGGACAGCTTTCAGGATCGGTCCACCGTTTGACTCAGGGGTTGACCTCAGTTCTCCAGGCAGCAAGAGCCTTTACTTGCTGAGCCATCCTGAAAACTGTTTCCACTGTGACCTATTATGAATAATGAAACCATGACCATTTGTGTACAAGGCTTTGTTTGTACAGTTATTGTGGGTAAACGTTTAGGAGAGGAATTGCTTGTTCATATGATAACTCTACCTCTAACCTTCTGAGGAACCACCAGAGAGCTTTCCAGTAACTATGCTATTTTATGTTTTTCACTAGACTGTTTAAAGGTTTGCTCTTGAAGCATGGGGCCTGGGGATGGAACTCAGGCCATCAAGCTTATCTGTGATTGCACCTTTAACTACTGAGCCTCCTCTTTGGCCCACACATCTTTCTGTTAAGTATAAATTATTTTGTTAAGTATCTTACTGCTGTTGATTTGATTTTCACTGATAGCTAATGATGTTTATCTTTTAATTGTACCTTTTTTGGGGAGAAAGGCCTATTTAGAGCATTATACAATTTATTATGTTATTAAATTACAAAGGTTTTAGTAATTTTTTTTTCTTATGTGTATGAGTGTTTTGCTTGCATGCACATATGGGTACAATTTGTGTGCTAGATGCCCCCAAGTTGTCTCTGACTCTACACATGCACTATGGCACACACACCATCTTCCCTCCACAAGAAAATAAAAGTATTTAAAATTTTAAAGTTTTACTGCTTAGTTTTGGTTCTTGCACTTACATGTGATTTACTCTGAAATGTTTTATTTTATTTTTAATTTTATTACATTATTTTATGAGTATGTGTTATGACTGAATAAATATATGTGCATACACCAGGTGCCCATGGAAGGCATGAAGAGGGCATCAGAGCCCCAGGAATTCGAGTTACAGGTTGTTGGGAGCTGCTAAGTAATGTGAAGAATTGGATCTGGGTCTTCTGCAAGAGCAGCCTGTTCTCTTAACTACACAGCCATCTTTCTAGCCCCTTACTCTGAAATAATCTTTACGTATGGTATTTGGAAAAGTCCAACTTAACTCTTTGCATGTGTACATTCAGTTGCTGGAGAGACTTCCTCACTGAACTGTGCTGACTCCCTTGTCCAATACATCATACTGTTAGCTTTGTAGTTTGACACCAAGATGCAGGAGTCTTCTGACTACTAACCACTCTTGGACGTTCCACGCTAAGAAAAGAATGGCAATTATGGCTTCCCCACAGAGCTGTTAACCTCTTTTTTTTTTTTTTTTTACATCTTTCTAAAATATATAACAGGTGTTCTGACTGACATCCCACCATGTTGCAGGGCTCCAGAGCATATTCCTTCTGTTTTGGTACCTATTATCTGACTTCTCTTTATACTTATCCTTCTGCCTTTCTGAACCAAAAATTACCACCATTCATCATTCAGGTGGACTTTTAAGCCTCCACATGAAAGAACATGCAGTATGTTATCTATATATGGCTTATTTCTCTTACCATGTTAATTCAAATAATTCTCAGTCAGAATTTAATTCTTTTCTTTTAAAAAAACATTTAGATTACTTTGGAGCTGGTTACAGGCAGGTGTAAGCTGCCTGGCTTGTGGGTGTTGGAAAACAAACTTAAGTTCTCTGAAACAGTAGTAAGCAGTCTTAATCACTGGGACATCTCTCTAACCCCTTTATTTTCTTTTAAAGAGATGTTGATGCTGTGTAGCTCAAGCCAGACATGAACTTACTATCTTCCTGCCTCTAGCAACTGAGTGCTGTAGGTGTGTACTGCCATACCCAGCTTATTCTTTGTGCTTGGGTAATATTACTTGTGTGTGTATGTACCATACTATTTGTATGCAGTCATCCCTTGATAGACAAGTAATTTGACTGCATAGCTTGGCTGTTGTGAACAGTACTGCAACAAATACAAGTGCAGATATTTCCATGAAATGCAGCCTTAATTTCCTTTAAACATAAACCTACAGGAAGGATAGCAGCATCATATGGGAGATCTTTAACCTTTGAGGAACCTTGATACCGTTCTGCATAATGGCCACATTAATTAACATTCTTACCAACAGTATCTGAGACTTCCTTTCCCTCCCCCTTTTTGTTGACATGCTGCATTTTTGATATGAACATCCTAGTTGGAACAGGGTTTCAATGTTCATTTTCCTGATGACTAACAAAATGTTAAAAATCTAATAAAGCCACACACACTAAGTTTAAGATATAAATGGGGAGAGATAGCTTAGTAAAATCCTTGCTACACAAGCATGAGGGCCCATGTTTGAATCCCAGGACCTACATCAAAAGCTAGGTGGATTCCTTGGACCTGGTCTAATATGTTCCAGGGTAGACGAGAAAGCCTGTCTCAAAAACCAAAGTAGACAACACCCGAGGAATCACATACAAGAGTAGCCTCTGGCCTCACACATGTGTGTAACACACACACTCTTAAGACTTTTGCAGAGACAAGAATAACAGAATGTCAGGCATTATTATTCAGCTACCATTTTCTTCTTGTTAACAAACCATAGTTCTTAGTAGAGGTAAGGAAGACAAAGTCTTTAGAAAGCTTTACAGGAGTTTCTGGTTTTTAGCCAGAAGACTTAAGAGTATCTAACAAGCCTTAGCAGATTGGATATTAATATTAGTGACTTATTTCCTTTAGAGACAAGGTTTCACTATGTAGCTAAGACTGGCCTTTTAATCTCATGAGCCTCTACCTCAGCATCCTGAGTAATTTCTTTCAGCAATTCTAAGTAAGGGTATTAAGTTGTTGGTGTGTGTTCTGTATTCTGTATTTCTCAACAGTATGTGTACTGGGGAAACACTCCTAAGACCAGACCACTTTTGGGTTTTAAACCATAACCCCACTTAATTGTGACCTAAGTTTTCTGCACTCTTCAGTCCTTATCTTCTGAAGTGTTATCCTGATAATTACAAGATTTAATGTGCTTTTAGTAGTGTGCCACCATTGCCCGGCTCTGAAATTGACCTTAACTAAAACTCAGTGCAAATCAGAATGCTAATGTTATATCAAGATCAGCCATTATGCTGGGTGGTGAAAAATCTTTAATCCCAGCACTTAGAAGCCAGAGGCAGATGGATTGCTGTGAGTTTGAAGCCAGCATGGTCTACAGAGAGTTCTAGAACAGCCATGGCTACACAAAGAAACCCTGTTTTGAAACAAACAAACACCCCCAAACCAAAAAAAAAAAAAAGAATGAAACACCAAAAAATATTAGTGTATATTAATATTAGGTCTTTATAATGTTTTATGGAATGATTGAGGAACTTTTTGTTTGTTTTCTCTATGCAGCCTGGAATGTCCTGGACTCTGTAGACCAGGCTGGCCTCAAGCTCAGAGATCTGCCTGCCTCTCCAGTACTGGGATTAAAGGTGTGTGCCACTATGCCCAGATTCCCATTTTTCTTTTAATTTTGGTCACATAAGAAAAGCATATGCTTGATCTGGTCCCTAACACTTGCTACAATTTGTTGGCACTTACATTACTTTTATTTTTGACAAGTGAAATACTTTTTTGCTGATACACAGTATTACTTAAAACTAATGTAAAGTGTTTACTAGTTTTCCCAGAATAACAGCAGTAAATGACTAAGCAAGCAGTACTAACTGACTGACAAGCACACTTACTGGGAAGAGATGCTAAGAGGTCTCAGAGTCCCAGGAGACAGAGAGAAATG